GGAATTCACAAATCCCATCCTCTGATCCCGAAATTCCCACTCCTGTGATCCCAAAATCCCATCCTGCAATCCCAAAATTCCCACTCCTGGGATCCCAAAATCCCATCCTGCGATCCCAAAATCCCACCCTGGGATCCCAAAATCCCATCCTCTGATCCCAAAATTCCCACTCCTGTGATCCCAAAATCCCATCCTCTGATCCACCATTTCCATTTTGGAATTCACAAATCCCATCCTGCGATCCCAAAATTCCCACTCCTGTGATCCCAAAATCCCATCCTGCGATCCCAAAATTCCCACCCCTGGGATCCCAAAATCCCATCCTGTGATCCCACTGTTTCCACTTTGGAATTCACAAATCCCATCCTCTGATCCCAAAATTCCCACCTCTGGGATCCCAAAATCCCATCCTCTGATCCCAAAATTCCCACCCCTGCAATCCTGAGATCACATCCTGCCATCCCACCATTCCCACCCCTGGGATCCTGATATCCCATCCTGCATTCCCAAAATTCCCACTCCTGTGATCCCAAAATTCCATCCTGTGATCCCACCATTTCCACTTTGGAATTCACAAATCCCATCCTGCAATCCCAAAATTCCCACTCCTGTGATCCCAAAATCCCATCCTGCGATCCCAAAATTCCCACCCCTGCGATCCTGAGATCCTGTCCTGCGATCCCAGAATTCCCACCCCTGAGATCCCAAAATCCCATCCTGCAATCCCAAAATTCCCATCCCTGGGTCCCCAGATCCCAATCCTGATTTTAAAACCCCACCCTCTGATCCCAAAATGCCCATCCTGGGATCCCAAAATTCCCACTGTGTGGTCCCAAAATGCCCATCCTGCTGTTCCCAGCATTCCCAATCGTGGGATCCCCAAATCCCACCCTGTAATCCCACCATTCCCAATCCTGGTAATCCCATCATTCCCAATCCTGGGATCCACAAATCCCATCTTGTGATCCTGAAATTCCCATCCTGTGATCCCACCATTCCCAATCCTGGTAATCCTACCATTCCCAATCCTGGGATCCACAAATCCCACCCTCTGATCCCAAAATTCCAATGCTGATAATCCTACCATTCCCATTTTGGAATTCCCAAATCCCATCCTGTGATCCCAAAATCCCACACTCTGATCTCACCATTCCCATCCTGGTAATCCTACCATTCCCAACCTGTGATCCCAAAATCCCATCCTGGGATCCCAAAATCCCCATCTTGATGTTCCCACCATTCCCAGTCCCGGGATCCACAAATCCCACCTTCTGATCCCAAAATTCCCAATCCAGGGATCCCCAGATCCCATTTTGTGATCCTGAAATTCCCATCCTGTGATCCCACCATTCCCAATCCTGGTAATCCCACCATTCCCAATCCTGGGATATCCAAATCCCACCCTCTGATCCCACAGATCCCATCCTGGGATCCCCAAATCCCCATCCTGAGATCCCACCATTCCCAATCCTGGCAATCCTACCATTCCCATTTTGGGATCCCAAAATCCTCATCCTGAGATCCCACCATTCCCATTGTCCCAAGTACCAGGGGACAATCCCAGTGGGCCAATCCCAATGGGAAAATTCCAATGGGACAATTCCAATGGGATGATCCCAATGGGACAATTCCTATAGAACAATTCCTATGGGAAAATCCCAATGGGACAATTCCAGTGGGAAAATTCCAATGGGACAATTCCAATGGGATGATCCCAATGGAAAAATCCCAATGGGCCAATCCCAATGGGACAATTCCAGTGGGATAATCCTGGTGGGAAAATTCCAATGGGATGATTCCAATGGNAATTCCCAACATCCCAATATCCCAGTGATGTCCCCATGATGCCGCACCAGGAACTTGGCGGCGTCGTTGATGAACTCCCCGTAGTGCAGCCCCCACACATCCCAATACCCCAAATTCCCAATACCCCAACATCCCAATATCCCAAATTCCCAAAATCCCGCGATGGGATGCCGCACCAGGAACTTGGCGGCGTCGTTGATGAACTCTCCGTAGTGCAGCCCGCGCTCCTCCCGCAGGTGATTCCCGAACATTTCCCGGAGCCCCTCGCAGCCCAGGCTGGGCCCGCACATCCTCAGCGCGAACTTGCACGCCTGGAGAGAGAACCGGGAATGCCGGGAATTGGGCACGGGGGGATCCCCGGATCCGCCATCCCAAACCGCCGGGAATTCCCGGGAATCCCACCTTGACCACGTCGGGCTGGGGGTCCTGCAGGTGCAGCAGCAGCGTCACGAGCCCGTTGAGGATCTGCTCCGAGAAAACCTCGGAGTCGGCGCGGCTGAAGCGGGACAGGTTCCCGAAGAGGAGGATGGAGCGGTGCCGCAGCTCCGCGTGCTCCTGCGGAAACCGGGAAAACGGGAATGGCGGCGGGAGAATCCCAGGGATCCCGTCCTGGGGTCCCCAAAGCCCACCCCGGGATCCCACCATTCCCATCCTGTGATCCCAAAATCCCACCCCCGCGATCCCACCATTCCCATCCTGTAATCCCACCCTGGGATCCCACCATTCCCATCCTGTGATGCTGAGATCCCAAACTCTGATCCTGAAATTCCATCCTGTGATCCCACCGTTTCCATTTTGGAATTCACAAATCCCACCCTCTGATCCCAAAATTCCCACTCCTGCGATCCCAAAATCCCATCCTGCGATCCCAAAATTCCCACCTCTGGGGTCCCACCATTCCCACCCCTGGGATCCTGAGATCCCATCCTGTGATCCCAAAATTCCCACCCCTGGGATCCCACCATTCCCACCCCTGTGATCCCAAAATCCCATCCTGCGATCCCAAAATTCCCACTCCTGTGATCCCAAAATTCCATCCTGTGATCCCACCGTTTCCACTTTGGAATTCACAAATCCCATGCTCTGATCCCAAAATTCCCACTCCTGTGATCCCAAAATCCCATCCTCTGATCCACCATTTCCATTTAGGAATTCACAAATCCCATCCTCTGATCCCGAAATTCCCACTCCTGTGATCCCAAAATCCCATCCTGCGATCCCAAAATTCCCACCCCTGGGATCCTGAGATTCCATCCTGTGATCCCACCATTTCCACTTTGGAATTCACAAATCCCATCCTCTGATCCCAAAATTCCCACCCCTGGGATCCTGAGATTCCATCCTGTGATCCCACCATTTCCATTTCGGAATTCACAAATCCCATCCTGCATTCCCAAAATTCCCACCCCTAGGATCCCAAAATCCCATCCTGCCATCCCAAAATTCCCACCCCTG